CCGGAAGAATCGACCTTCAAGCTCGAGCTTCAAGGGCGAACTTGAAAAAAAAAAGAAATTGAAAGTCGTCGACGTCGCCGGCCGGAATATACATCGACGCCGGACGTCGCCGACCGGAGTGACTGGCGGAGCAGACAAGTGGTAGGATAAAGGATGACACATTTGGAGATTAGGGCATTTTTCTGAGAATTAGATATGTTTTAAGGACTTGGTTGCAGTTTAATGAATTTTTATTATATTTCAATTTGATACATGTGTCAAATATGTAATTTATAGAAAGTTTAATAAATGAATATTAATTGAAAAATAAAAAATACACAATATATTGTATTTAAGCACATTAAATATAAACGACATATGTGATAGGACAATAGTTTATATGAAATGCACGTTAATGATCCATATATAGCACCATAACGATCGAAACGGAACGAACTAAAAAATATATAAAATATTATTTTTGTTATATATTTTATTTACACCTATATATATTATATTTTTAATATAAAATCATTAAATAAACATACTAAATATTAATTTTTTAAATATAAATAATAAATTATTTCAAATATTAAGGTTAATTTTAACCAACTGAATAATTCAACTATTTCGGTTCAGTTTTAGATTATATTAGCACAAAAAAAATACACGGCATAACGCGAAATAGTATAACACATGATGCACATTATTCATTGTCAAATTGCATAATAGTTTTAGAACATATGCACATTAATGTGTTCGAGATTGCACCTTATCATTACAATGCGCATTTTTTCGCAAAAGTATTAAAATTTAAGTCATTGCATTCCAAGTTCGGCTCTATTTACAAAAGAAAAAATAAATTACAGAACCGACCGAACCATAATTTCCTTTTTTTTCATATTTTATCTTTATATATTTATTTATTTTAATCAAACGGCAATACAATTTTTTTTTTCGGTACAGAGCAATACAAAATGTTAATTAAAAAATTACAAATACTGAATATAATTTTGTATAAAAATAAATAAATAATAATAATAATAATAATAATAATAAAATAGTTGCACTTCCAATGCAAATTAGTAATAGTATGGTTGCACACTATCGACAGTTAGATCGCACTTTAGTATTAAACGGATTGCACTTTAATATCTGACAGTTAGATCACACTTTAGTATTAAACGGATTGGACTTTAATATCTGCCATTAGAGATGTTAAACGGTCCTTGGCCCGACGGTCGGCCCGTTTAGCCTAAAAAAAAAAGGGTTAGGACTCTTTTTTGGTAGCCCATTTAAATTAGGGCTTTTTACCCAGACCGTTTAACCCGAAGCCCGCTAGGGCTGGCCCGTTTAACTTGGGTTGAACGATGGAAATGTTTGCAGCATGTAAAGAATATGCTCCAATATTTCTTGTATATTACAATTTTGATATTTACGTCATATGTAACTATGAGTTGTAACGTGTTATTATGATTTTGAATGATAATTATTAACAATTTCGTTATTTTACTTCACACCAAATTATTTAAGCCAATTAGTACGGCTAATAGAAAACACATGAGACAAAGACCTAACACATAGAACATAGTGATAGGATATAAATTCAACATTATGATACAATATCGTGAAAATTCCCAAAACGTACAAAATAAGTAGTAAAATGGTAATTATAAATAATAGTTTAAACATTTTTTTTTTTTTTTTTTTTGTAAAAAAAATATGTCATTTAAGAGTTTGTAATGTGTGTTTATACATGAAGTGTATTTGTATTATAGAGCGGTAAATACTCAATAGCCATTGAAAACAATTGTTAACTAGCCATTGTGATTTTTATTTACAATTTTCTTTTGATATATTATTATTATTATAGCCCGTTTAATCCGAAGCCCGCTAAGGTTAGGGTTAGGTTTCTTTATTTGTAGCCCGTATAAATTCGGGATTTTTAGGCCGGGGCCGTTTAGCCCGAAGCCCGCTAGAGCTAGCCCGAAACCGCCAGGGCTAGCCCGTTTACCATCTCTATCTGCCATATTGCACTATATCGACTTAACCCGACCGACCTCGTTTTTTGTGTTCGAATTTTATGTTGGACCAATTATATATGTTTACTTTTAAAAATGTTACTTATTTCGGTTCGATATTAACTTTATTTATTTATTTATTTTTTAAATAACCAAAATGATCTGACCGAACAAACTATATAAAAAATATTATTTTTTATATTTTTTTATAATAATACTAATTTTTCAATCAAAATAACTAAAATTTTAGATATAAATATTAATGTGCACTTTACATAGCATTAATGTGCAATTTAATTGTCGTTAACGTGCAATTTACGTAAAATTAATGTGCAAGTATTGAAAGTTTTATAAATTATAATTTGGACACATGAAGTGAATTGTAATATATTGAAGTTTATAAAATTGCAATTGAGTCCTCATAACATATCAATTTTTGAAAAGAAAATGCCCCAAATTTTCAAAAGAAAAGTGCAATCCGTTCTGTTTTCTGCCTGCGACTCGAATGACGTGTTGTGGCGGCGACGAGCCAAATTGCGGCGCGCGAGGGCCGGCGCGGCAGGCGGGTGGTGGTTCACGCCGCGGCGGCCCGACCTGCAACTTGTCCGCAACTTTTCTGGCGAACATGAAGTGGGCCAGCTTCGGTGGTTGCAGGTGGCGATGTGGGGGATGTTGTCGGCGGCGACGGTAGTGACGTGGCTGTTGGCGGTGACGGGCCGGTTGCTGGCAGACGGCGAAGGCGGATGGCGGAGACGAGGTGAGGATGCTGTGGCCAGATGGATGAGGCAAAGCGGCGGGCTGGTGGTTGAAAGGAGGAGGCGATGTGGAGGTTGTTGACAGCGACAATTGTGGTGGCGTCGACGTGAGCACCCTCACCGTGAGATCTGGGCGAGTTGCCGGACTCGTTGATTGGTGGCGGCAGTGGGTCCGACGACGGCGGCGACATGACCGGCAGGCTCGTTGTGGTGGCGGTGGCGTGCCGGAATCAGGGAACTGTGGCCAGCTGTGGTGAGCCACCGACAGTGTCGGGAGAGAAGACGATCGGGAGAGAAGACGATAGATAGGAAGGGAGAGAGAGGAGAGAGGAGAGAGTGATTGTTGGAAACAATTATGTGGGACTCACTTAATTTATTATTTTGTAAAATTACATTATTGTCCTCCAGTGTATTTATTTGTCCATGAAATATCATATAATTGCAATTTTGCCATCCAGGTTTTACCATTATAATTTAATTTTGACTTCATCATGTCTATTTATATAATTGATCCAATGGTACATGATCATTCTTATTTCTTTCACTATCTACCATTCTCATATGATCTATTTTCTATATTAGTAAACCTATTAGTTTTATTAAAATGTATGTTTACATTGTAATTAGGAAAAAATAAAATCATATTTATTATCTCTAAAATTTCTATTTTTTATTATGCTGATGTTTTATATGCTAATGATTTATATCCTTAATTTTCGATGATTAAGTTTAAAGCTTCATTTCCGTGAGTATGTTTATTGTCATGGTGATGTTTAATTGTTTATTTTATAGATGTGGATGTTTTAGATGGGATGTTGGAAATATGATTATAATTAAATAATAATATTTGTTAATGGGGTATATATTCCATCTCATCTGTACGACAAATTATATTAATATTGATACCATGTTTATTGTAAAGTCATACTCTCATTTATCCGCAGTTTATATTGTTGTATTATTAAAAAATTTGATTCCATATACAACTGGTTTTATAAGGATAATAATATGTTAAATTTAAACATATTTGACACGTAAATCCAGTTGTTAAGGGAATTTAAAACTGATTACATATAATGCTTCGAGATTTGGTATAACTCTATTTTTCTTTGGTAGATAGGTATTATTATGTTATTTAATTATAAGATACCATAAACAACCGGTTTTATAAGGATATTGCTATCCATATTTTAACACGTATTTGAAGGCCATTAAGTGCTATTGTTAAGAGAAATGAAATTTTAGTACAATTAATACTTCAAGATTTGATATAAACATTTGTCTAAAATTACGGTAAGTTCGATGCTACCCCATGGGGTAGTGCCCCCATGGGTTTTTAGTCACACATTCACACACACACACACACACACATACATGAGTGTGTGAAATTTGTGGTTAAAAACACCATGAGGCACTATCCCATGGAGTAGCATGAATTCAACCCTAAAATTACTATAATTAAGGTGTAATTAATGGATAATAGCGAAAAATGATTACTATATTTGATTGAAATCTATTTTTCTTGCAGGAACGAATTCTGATGAGATAGTGGACGGATGATTTATTGTTAAATGGTTTTTAATTTATTTTTTATATGAGTTATAATCTCTAATATTAATGCAAAATTTATTACTGCATGAATTTTATTACCAAAACAAATAAAAAAAATATTTACTTTTTAGTGACTATTGATCCAACAGAATGGATCTCACTTTTTAGTTAATCAAAGTAACAAGTACTAAATGCACGTGCCCGTTATTATCTGCCGGATAGGGAAGGGCGAAAGCTAATGGAAGTATATTAAGAAAAAAGATCGTAGTAATTATCAAGATCTAATTTATTTACTTTGTCAATATAAATAAAATTATCCTTGCAGGATCCCGTTGAATATGCTCATAGCGTAATAGTGCAATTCATTAGTCAAGATCAACGGATCCAAATTATACTACAACTGTTCGCAATGAGTTGTTCATTTCCATTTAGGTTGTGAACCTATTAATTTTGTTTTACAAGTAACCAATAATATGATCATTGATGAGCCATAATTATCTAAATGTAAAACATAATTAAACATGATTTTCATTCAACCAAAAATAGTATTTTATTATAATGTAAAAGACCAAACTTTAAATATATATACTCGGGCCTTGACCGACTAGATCTTAGATTTGAAGATTTAACTTTTTTGTCCTTAACCCGTTTTTTTCTGTTTTTTTGTTTTTTCTTTTTTTGCGAAAGGATAGAATTAATAACTAAAAAAAATGTACAGAGTTCGATGGCTAACTAGCCAATACAGACCAAGGTTAATAAGAGGAACACTTGAAGGTGTCCTAAATACTACATAACACACAAAACTAGGCTAGTAGTGTGGCAGATATTCAAATCCTGAAACCAATAACACACAGAACTAGGCTAGTAGTGTGGCAGATATTCAAATCCTGAAACCACGTCTACCTTAACAGCATATCACAACAACCCAACATTCCAACAATTTCTACACTCATCAGATAACCTCCTCAGATACAATTCATAGCTAATGCCAAAAAAATTAAGATCACAACCACTGAACACCAATGTACCTAGTTGCTCCCTTAATTCACTTCACGTAGCTTGCTTCGTATTCCTGCCATTCCTTCACCGCTGCTTCCACCACATTTTGCACAGGCCTTAACCCGTTTTCAGTGCCTGGAATTGACATGATAAAATTAGCACATTATCGACAACTCAATGCATATATCCACATGCAAACAATTCCGTTAAAATATAAATCAAAACTTTTCATAAGCACAAGTGATTTTAAAACTGTCACTTAACAAGTATGTCTGTACATGTCTAGTGCCATCACTTCTTTGCACCTCCAAACCATTCAGCCATGTCATCCTCCTCCTCCTCGTCACCATCAGCAGACTCAATGAATGTCTTTTCATGCCCCTCTTCATGCTTGCCATTCATTGTCATTTCCATTTTCCGTAATTCTTGCCTCCGAATGTCACTTGAGAAGTCGCTCTTACCCCCAGAGACCGGAAAGCGCATGAAGCTCCCCTTTTGATTGTCCCATGAGCTTGACCTAACACTATCGTCATCTTCACCCCAGTCCACAAATTCCAGTGAATCATAATCCTCATACCCACTATTATTGTCTTGTCCAAGCCAAGGCCGCGTTTGGTGGTCTCTTATACTGTTGTTCGCATTGTGCGAAGCAATTGGTCTCTTATGGTCGCACTTCAGACATACCATGTTTCTCCTGAAGTTGAGGTAATTACACCTACAAATGATCGTACCACGATGTAAATAAAACTATAAAAGGGCATACTACATATTTAACTTACTCCTTTTTTTAGTATACTTTGTGTGTGTGTGTGTATCTATATATAAATATATGACATGGATTTCAAGCAAGTCTTACGAGTCGCATTCCCACTCTCCAGGATTTAAGTGTCGTTTAGGAGGCTTCTCCTTGCATTGTAAACACTTTGTGTTTCTAGCAAAGTTTAAGAAGTTGCATCTGCAGAAAATTAAAGAGTCAACAATAAATCAACTTGAAAAGCTAAAATGATTATCGAGAAAGTAAACTTATTTTTTCAATTAATTCCATTACTTGCCACAAACCCAGTCTCCTTTCTTCAGAGGAAGGTTTTCTTGTTCTGCTGCTAATTTTCGTAGTCTTTCCTCGGAGAAGGTGTCACATTGCAAACACTTGATATTTCGGGCGAAATTGTGGAAATTGCACCTGAACAATAACAAGAAAGAATTACAAAGTTGCAGAATGTAATGCAGGTCCAAATAAATAACCTAATAGCTGGAGTGTACATCTTACTTGGGACAAATCCAGTCACCAGGCTTCATTGGGCCAGCAAATTGAGTCCTTTGCTGGTGAACATCACTCTCCTGGGACAATTCCCGAGTGGCAGTTTTTTGTTTTTCCTCATCATGTCCCTCAACTCTAATTTCGACCATTTGTTTCAATAATGTTCTTACAGATTCCTTAACCCTTTTGTTCAAGCAAGGCTTGTTTTGCACAGAATCAACTATAGGATCGAGACCATATGTCAGTATTAAACGCATAATGTCCACCGTCCTACCACCTTCACTCTCACGTGCCTTTACGTATGCTCTATCACATTCGCCTCTTAAAATGCACGAGCTGCAAACCTACTAAAAACCAATTTTTTATGTCTTAAAATAAAGTGCTATTAGAATAAAATAGTGTTTTTTTCTAGAAAGAATGGAGACGATCAGCACATACATTCCCTTCATCAATTCCTACATGATATCTCAAACGTTTTCCGGAGTTAACAACTTTACGGTCTGTGCTCGGACATCCGGACCCAGCTACTACCATCATATCTTTCCTTGACAAGTAGCTGCACATAAGAGGTTTGATATTTATGGTTGATAGCAACTCAGATTATTCTAGAATATAAACATCAGAAACTAACCAAAATTACTTAGGGGAATTGGACAACAAATGGGCAGAGTTGCAGCTTACGAAAAGTAAAACGAAACCAGATAATGAGTGTTCTTCAATCAACAAGCTCAAGACAAGAAACCTTATAAGATGGTAATTATCGCGCGCAAAGTTGAGTGAAGCAGTTCTGATCAAATTCGCCTCCTTACTACCCAATTCTCGAGCAGGCTCAAATGGATTCCCAACTTCATCGAAATACCCATCTCGCAGCAATCTCTTCATGAAATCCACCCATTCATTCCATGGATGCCAAACCTGGATTCCAGAAGAAGCCGCTTTATGTTTCTGGGCAAAACTTTCCTGTCCCTCATTCCAAACAGGGGAATCGAATCGGGTTTTAGAGGAATGTGATTCTCGAGCTTCATCCAGAACGAACTGAATTTTGGAGGTGTAGTTGTGGATTTGAGGAATTGGTGAGCTCAATTTAGGGTTTCGGAGCAGGGATTTGAGGGTTTTGGCGGACATCATTATTGTCCTAAAGTTGAGCTTATTAACTCCACTTCGGAAAGAGGTCCGTTCACTTCAATTTTATGGGTTCAGTCCCGTTTCTTTCCCTTATAACCCGAATTCCGATTAGTAATGCTGCGTGAGCGTGACTGCGTGACCTTCGTGCCAATTTAATNAAAAAAAAAAAAAAAACAAAAACAAAAACAATCTTAAAGAGTAAGGAAACGGAGGCAAAATCTTGTTACACATGTGTTTGGATTACAACGGAAATCCCATGAACTGAAGATGATGTTTTCAGTTCGTACAATTTGAACTATAAACAAGAAAAACAAAATTGCATCTGAAAGCAGAAAGACAACAAAGAAATCGATAACCAAGTCTAGGCGATTGCTCTTTCCGCAAGACGAAAACGCCTCGTGTAGTGCTCATGGATTCAGGCATTTCGTCCCCAAAGATACAACGACTTACGTCTCGAAGGCTGTAGCACACTAGCTTTCAAGCTCTGATGAACTTAAATGTAGTCGAGAACTGAGCACTCGAATGTTATGATGCGTGATGCTTTTGAGAGTATGCATATGATTGTATGAACCAGTGTTTACTTTCCTCTACAACTCTATGTCCTATTTATAGGACTTTCATCACAAGTAGAAGAATTTTGGTGGTCATCCCAGCCATTAAGGACATTCATCCACCTTATAAATGGCTACATTAAGGTGACTAACTCACCTTTAATCAACCTAATAAATGGGCAACATTATGGTGTTTAACTCACCATTAATCAACCTTATAAATGGGTAACATTAGGGTGTTTAACTCACCATTCATCGACTTTATAACTCATGAAACCGTCAGGTGGTGGATAATTGAAAGGTCACACGTCCAGGTTCAATGTCCCTGGAAGGTGTCACACGGGTTGGGTCAAAACCCGAGTCCAAAACACCAACACTTGATGCATAGCTTTGTTGTTGTTGTGTCTTCTCCAACTCATTTAAGAATTCTATGTGAGATAAGACTTTTGGCCATTCGAATCCCACAACCAACGTTTTGCGTGCCCATTTATGGCTAAGTTTAATCATTTATTTCTCACTCACCAAAAACCTGTTTTGAGAAAATAAATATACCACGAGTATCTACTTCGAACATATAATTTTTTTACATAAATTAGTTCAACCTGAATTAAATATTTAGCCATAAAAATTCAGGGTCACGCCAAATTTTATATTACTTATTTTCCAACAAATCTCAACAGCGTAAAAAGCAGTGACTGTCTCGGTGCTGACGGGCACCTGGTTCTCGTCATGTCACAATTTCTGCCCGGTACAGTTTTGCTTTCTTAAAAATCGAATGTTTGTCATGGGACGTTTCCCAAAGTCAAGGAGAATATCCATCACCAAAGAGCGTCTTGGGCACCGTGTAAATCCATCCATGAGGTAAACAGTCCTATATGGGTGTTCGGGTCTGAGTTTCCATCGTAGAGCCTGATATGCGACATCTTGATCTTTCCAAGTAACGACTCTCGTAAGATATCGTACGGCAAGGGTGACTCCGATTCGGCTGGTGGTCTTTCCATTCGGTCTCGCTAGACCGAAACTGTCTGCTTCATGTTGTTTTTGTCGGGCTACTAGTTCGGCCAGTCTATTTCGTAGCTTTCTCATCTCTTCTTCTTCATTGACACTCGCTCGTCTCTTGAGCAGCTTTTTTTCCTAAGATCGTCTTCGGCCCCACTTTTTCCCAATCGGTTGAATACCGACCGGGTAGTGTGGCGGCTTCTTGAATTCGTGACTGAGTGGCTTTCGTTGGTTTCTTCTCGCTCCATTCGTGCGATGGTCTTCTCTCTTCGGTTCTTGGTGGGATTTTCGCGAGACTGTGAGATCTCCTTCTGTGTTTGTCCTTTTCCATGGTCGTGGTAAGGTCCTTCTTGGCTTGGGTTTCCGGTGCTTGGGACGTTGACGGCTTGGTCTGAGTCATGAGATTTAAGAATCCGTTGACGAATTCGGGGTTCTTGAACAATGCGGCGAAGTCGGTCGTCGTGGGTTGGTGGTTTCGCCGGTTTTCTTCTTCCTCCGATGTCTTATGCTGCTCTTTATGGCTTGATGATGATGTGGTTGTTTTTGACATTTGCCAATCCTTTTGGCGCCAATTGTTGATATATGGAAATGTTATCAACAATATTTCGAACTGTACGCTAGAATATGTACTTGGTTCGGTCTGCACGAATAGGATTTTGTAAAGAATCTGGTACATATGTGTGATCTATTCATGACTTGTTATTATATTCTATCGAATTTCATGGAGGATAAAAAATGGATTGCGGCATGATAAGAATTGAAAACGATTGATTTGATTCATCGAATAAGAGCAGCTATATATAGTTGTTACAAATATTGCCCTAGGAATTATCTAGAACCAAGACACCTAAGGCTAGAAGACAATAAAGAGGAAATAACATTAATAGAAAATAAAAATGTAAAAGCTGTAAATACAGGTGCAGGTGCTATGCATGGACGCTCCTCCCTTTGGCATTTTGTTCCTGCATGGCCGAGCACGTTCCTAGTGAAGTGGAAAATAATGCAGAGGTGGCAGGTGAGCTGGTAGATGATCCAAGACCTGGTTTATCATCCTCCCGCAATTTGATGGAGGTTTGAGAATTAACTTGCAGCTTTAACCGAGCATGAAGTTGACCACCAAGAGGTTTTGTGAAAATGTCAGCCGTTTGATCAAAACCAGGCACATGTTGAACTGATATTAGACGTTGCATAATCTTTTTCCTCACAAAGTGAAGATTGAGTTCAAAGTGCTTTGTGCGAGAGTGAAAAACTAGATTTGATGATAAGGAGACAACACTAATGTTCTCATTCCATACGATGCTCGGTTTCATTGTAGTGACTCCCAGTTCAAAAAGAAGAGACTGAAGCCACATTAATTCACAAGTTGTTGTGGAAATGCTTATATATTCAGCTTCAGTGCTTGAACGAGACACAACCAATTGCTTTTTAGATCCCCAAGAAACAAGATTGTTTCCAAAACAAGCACAATATCCAGAGGTTGAATTTCTATCATCACTGTCTGAACCCCAATCTGCATCAGCAAAAGTAGTGAGGGATAAGTTATTGCATGGTTTGAAGGACAGACCATAGTGCAGTGTTCTAGATAGATATCTTAACACCCTTTTCAAGGATTTCCAACTGGATGTTCTTGGAGTTTGCATGTATTGACTGAGCTTATTAACACTATAAGCTATACATGGTCTGGAAATGGTTGCATGTTGGAGAGCTTCAATGATATTTCTGTAGGAAGTAGCTTTGAGTAATGGATCACCATCATGCTTGGAGAGATGAGAAGTCACTGACATGGGAGTATTTAATCCTTTTGCACCAGTCATTCTAGCAGCAGATAGCAGTTCACTAATGTATTTCTGTTGGGAGAAGAGTAGGCCATAGGACTAAGGCATGATCTCAATTCCCAAGAAATAATGCAATGTGCCAAGATCTTTGAGAAGGAATATATGGTTCAGCTTAGCCACAAATTCAGCTATTTCTCTATCACAATCACCTGCGAAAATTATATCATCCACATAGGTTAAGATGATCATAAAGGACTTCTTTGTCTTCCTGTAGAACAAGGAATTATCAGCAACATAATTTTTGAAACCAAAAGAAACCAAGACTTGTGTGAGTTTGGAGCACCAAGCTCTTGAGGCTTGTTTCATTCCATAGAGAGACTTATGGAGTTTGCACACTAATGTCTCTCTATTTGGTCCCGATTTTTCATAGCCTGAAACTTGAGTCATGTAAATGTCAGCATCTATGTCCCCATTCAAAAAGGCATTGTCTATATCCAATTGTCTGATGGCTAGTTTGACAACTGGACTGTAGGTTTCAGTGTAGTCTAGACCTGCCATTTGAGTAAAGCCTCTTGCTACAAGTCTAGCTTTACACCGAGCTATGGACCAATCTGAGTTTCTCTTTGTTTTGAAAATCCACTTGCAGCTAACTACTCCCTTGTTAGTAGGGGCAGTAATTAAGCTCCACGTTTTGTTCTTCAAAAGGGCTTAATATTCCTTTTGCATTGCATCTTTCCATTGGGAAATGAGCATTGCTTCCTTGTAGTCTTTGGGCTCAATTCCTTCTTCAAGAACAGCTGCATAGGTCTTTGGCTTGAGATTTCCTATTTTTGACCTTGTTATCATTCTATGTCCTGTCACATTTGGGTTAGCAAAATTAGAAACATCATCATGGTCAGCAGCATTCTCCATAGGCAATTCAATAAATAAGTCACAGCCACTATAATGATCATTGGGTGAAATGGTTATAGAAGAGTGAGGAGAGTTATTAGATGGTGTGTGATGTTCAGAGGTTATTTGAAGTGATGGTATATCATTGTTGTTGGAATCTTGGTTGGTAGGATTAGAAGGATGTATGGTTGGAGATATCAAAGGAATGGAACATGTGGTTTTAATGTTGCTGTGGTTGAGAGCTGACTGAAAAGAATTGTGATCAGTGAGAAAATGGCAGGAGCTTTCATCGAAGATAATGTTTCTAGTGACTATCACCTTTCCAATTTTGAGAAGAACCCTATAACCCTTATGTTGAGGGCTATAACCAATGAAGGTGCAAGCTTGTGATCTATCTTGAAGTTTATTCTTGTTGTAAGGTCTCAAATGAAGATAACAAAGGCAGCCAAAGGTTTTGAGGTGATTATAATTTGGTTTTCGACCTGTAAGGGCTTCAAAGGGAGTTAAAAAATTCAAAGGTCTGCTAGGTAGTCTATTTATAAGGTAGACAGCAGTCTCAAAGGCAAAATTCCAAAATCCTTTTGGCATACCTGCAGCATTCATCATAGATAGGCCTAACTCCACAATATTTCTGTGCTTCCTCTCAACAACTTTGTTTTGTTTAGGATTATAGGGACAGGATAATCTACGTATGATTCCATTTTCACTGAAAAACTTGGACAAAGGCTTATATTCAGTTCCACCATCACTTTGAAGAATTTTTACCTTCCTTTGAAATTGTCTCTCAATCATTTTTAAGAACTGAACAGTTATATTGCAAGTATCAGACGTGCTGCTAAGGCAATACAACCAAGTGTATCTAGATTTATGATCAACAAAGCTTATATAGTATGAGTGTCCCATT